TTTACTCTGCGGCCAAGTTTGAATTCCGAGCACATCTGATGTTTTTAGAAATAAAAAATGATCCATATAGAGTTCCTGTGTGTCTCATCTCTACAGTTTGATTAGAGTTACATCAGAATTTCACAAGTTAATCATTTCTGTAAGCCATGTTCAGTCAGTACAGGGCTGCACAGTCACCGTCGCTATGTGCAATGGAAATATTACATCATGATTGTTTCTGTCTTTTAAGTAACATAACTAAGTATCAACAGTGCTCTCAATATCAGTGACAATGATGATGAAGTGCAATCAGTTCAGCTTGTAGCATTCCTATTAAAGGTAAGGTTTGTTCATACACACACACACACACACACACACACACACAAGGCTTCTCCATCTGTGCACGAGTGTGATCTGGAGATGTCTGTGTGTCTTCTGTACTTGAGTGTAATGTCAACATGTTCAGTTCAGTTCCAGTGCTTTGTTTCTTCCTTTCAGGCTTGTCTCCTCCGCTCAGTTCAGTCCTTATTGTAGCTACCGCATCAAAACAGACAAGTGTTACAGGTAATAACAAATGAAGACGGGTAAAACCAATAAGAACAAGTTAAAAAAGAAAACAAGACAGTAAGACAGGAACAGGACGTTAAGTGATTTTAATGCACACGCTCTGATAGTTTTAAAGGCCTTCTGTGTGAATCTGTAGAGACATATCATGTGTTTTCATACACACTGAATTTCCTCAAACGTCTGTGGAAACTGAGTCCTTGATATTTCTAAGACTGATATATTAATGTGTTATATACAGAATGTATTCTTCAGCTTCTCACAACATAAAAGTTAAAAAAAGTAATAAATAAAAACTGTCTGGAGGGGTCAGGCCTGCACCACCCTCCTCCTCCACCTAAGAGAGACAGAGGTTCCCCTCACAGCTCCCACCCTCAAGCTATAGACCAGATAGACGGAGGGGTGGACGGACGGATGGAGGTCAGAGAGTGGAGTCTGACAATAGATCAGCGATGAGATCTCTCTCCGCTCAATTCCCAGCAGCCCCACCACTTCCCCTCCCAGCCACAAAGCACCTTCTCCTGGCCCGTCGTGCCCTTGACATGCCAAGGCAGGCGGGCAGGCACATCCCAGGGACAAGCTGCTCGCCGCTGTCTCTAAGACATTCTGATGAGGTTTTCGGCTCTGAAAGGCTCGGGGGTTGACTTTGTAAAAGAATCTCAATGAGGTGCGAGTGAATGCCGCGGCTGTTCCATTTGAATTTGTGTGTTCGGCAGCTTCTTGAGCGACTCATTTCCATGCATCACCCTGGATTCCTGAGCGCCCGGCCCAACACGCTCAGGGCTCCCTGCTCATATTTTTTTTTAAGGCTTGTGACAACGTTTCCTTCAATAAGCACAAGAAATGCAACATAAATGTGTTTCTAAACAGAACATCTCAACATTTTCATTCCCCATTGTTGCCGCCTTCCTTTCATTTAAAGCAGGAACGGAGCCAAAGAGAGAGGAGAAGCCACTGATCATTAACCCTTCAGCACTTTACAATGAATCCTGGAGGCTCATTCTGCTAAATGGCCAGTTCTTTCCAAATGGAGGAGGGGGACTATCAAACTCAAAGACATAAAATGCATAACTATCATTGTATTTTTTTTAAGGTTTCAAATGCTCATTATGTCAACCCATCAAATTTATATATTTCTTTATTTTTATTTTATGCAGCTGCAGGTGCACATTTAGCAGATTGATGTTTGTGTACTTTATCTTGTGGCATTTGCTTTTATTGATTTTTCATTTTCTAATGCAGTTGCAGCTTGTTGTTTTAAATTCAGCTGACCTGTAGGCCGTCTCTTCACACATCTATACAGGGCTTTAGTGTGAACCCTGTATTGCCATCAATGCATAGCCTGTAGCTGAGGTTATCACATGTTGTGGGAACGTCGCCGGGCCCGGCTGTTGCGGTGACACGACCCCTTCGCCCCTCCACCCTCCTCTGAAGAGAAAAAGCTGCTAACACGGGGACATTTTAATTGGAATTTCATGTGGGCTAAACTGAGGGGAAACTGATGTAAGTTAACATTTGGTAGACTTAATTGGTCCTTTTCTCTCCCTCCTCCTCCATCGGGCACTTACGGGCGCTGCTGAAGCTTCCCCGCTAATCTCCCATTTACAATCAATTCAGGCCGCCAGACAAAAAGCCCGCCTCTCGCTTTTCTTCTCTTCCTGTCTCAAACGAGCTCCTTTTGTGGCCCGTAAATTGCCTGAATCCCCGGTGATCCCCCCGGTGGCGGAGGGAGCAAAAAGAAAGATGTCCTCATGTTGTTGACAGCTGATTAGCGCGCGTTCCCGCTCCCTAACTCCCTCCCTCCCCCCCGTGCGCGCGCGCCTTAATTAAAGCTCCAGTTCGTCAATTAACGTGTTTGTGGATGTTGAGGCGGTTGCTCAGATGTTGGAGAGGTGCAGAGGGGAAAAAAGTGCAGAGAAAAGGGCAACCTGCTCGCCTTTAGGTTGTTTACTGCTCCGACATTGTTGTCCATGTCCCGCAGCCTGCAGCTCTGGACTCATGTGCACACACACAGTCACACACACACACACACACACACACACACACTGTGTTTCTGTTTCTCACCACACACATTGCTTTGGATAAAAGTCAAACCTGCCTCAGGACGTGATCACTGCTTTCCTCAGCTGATCAGTGAAGGTGCAGGTTTGCAGTGAGGGTGAGCAGCAGGGCTGTTGTCTCTCACTGAGGTCATCATGTCTGATGTATTGTTTCTGTGCATGTGGAGGTTTAACACCTGAGGCTGAATTAGCTTTTACATGTGAATTCTGACATTTTTTTTGGGGTCATTATTTTTAGGCTCCCTCCTCCCACCCAGCAGATCAGTGTTTCATCCTCACGGTTGTATTGAATTGTGTATATGGCTTTCAACAACACATAGGCCAGAATACAACATATGTTTTGGCATTTAATCCTGACACTGGAGATGGAGACTAGATGTATGACATGTTCTTTTATTTAATTTTATGCACCTTTAAAATACACCTTTATAGTTTAGCAGAGTGATGTTTGTGTGGTAATAATAATAATAATAATAATAATAATAATGATAATCTTTTTTTTACATGTGGCTTTTGATTTTATTGAGATTTTACTTTCTAATAAAGTTGCAGCTTGTCTCATGTGTTTTCACATTCACATTATCTGAGCTAATGTCTGATGTACTGTTGTGTTCTGGCATTTTGCATTTCATTTTTTGGCATTTAATACCGAGACTGGAGATGGAGACGCGACGCATGACAGGCTTTTTTTTATTATTTTTTATTTAACAATTAAATTGTAATTTTTCTTTATTGAGTAGATCAAACTTTGCAACGCAGCAAATAAGAAATCCAACTATATCCAACGCATCTCACGTCATCATCTATTCAGATGTCATTGTTCATTATCATCTGTCTATTGTTGAATGTAGCAGCCTTGGTGCAGCTTTAAACATTTGAGTTAAATCTGAATGTTGCTGGAGCTGCACTGACATACTGATATGCCACAGCACCAACATATTTTCTTTATTCAAACCGAATGTCCACGAGCCCTTTCAGTCAGTTTTATTAAAGTTGACAGTTTGGTTTTTTTTTTTTTCCTGCAAATTGTCTGCCCCTGTGTCTCTGATGCAGCCTGATGAAATAGGTGAGCAAGGCATTCATCTGGCAATATTAGCCCTGCCAGGCTTCTATAGGCCCGGCCAGCCCGGCTGAGCGCTAATTGGCTGTTAATAGAAAGAGCGCCATTTGGATGCACGGATCTGCCTCTCGACAGAATGTGTGCAGGGATAATATTGTTCCAGGAGCCGTGCGGAGAATAACTTGTGCTCTATTAACGCAGAGGCCCAGATGAGGAGCTGCGGCCTGAGTGCTCCATTATCTTCTGTTCTGATGAGCGGCTCCGGATGCGTCAGCCCCGCCGCCACTCCACAATCAAGCCTCCCGAGGCCGTTTAGCTGGTTAATGTAATTCGCTTTCAAGGGCTCATGTTATCTCTGATCATTACGCCGGAGTCAAGTGTAAATGCTGCAGTATTAAGATCGTGTCTGTCAATAAATGGTGAAGCAAAGTGGCTGCAGAGCATACACTAGAGCCAGACTGTGTCTATATGTGGGTTTCTGATGAAACTTCACAATAAAACAACTGCAAAGTTTAGCTGTTGTCGCATTCATTCATCTAATCAACTTATACCTTAGAAATAAAACATCCTGAAGCTTAAAGCTGATCTTTAAATAAATCAAATCAATGAATGAATTAAGACGAAGTACAACAAACAAAACAAAGAAGAAAACAACAAATCTCAACATGTGGCTGTATTTAATGCTCTGTTGTTCCTGGTGTCTTCATGCTCTTATTATTATTTTAATTTTCATGTGTTTTATAAACTGTTTTGCAGCCGTTGGCTAAAACTAAACTTTACTCAGTACAACTTTCATCACATTATTCAGTTTTATTTTCAAATGCTTCTAAAAATGGAAACAACATGGCTCAAACATTCAGGTTTCATTATAAGTTATAACTTAACTCATTCACAATAACATTTTTTTTCTGTGAAATACACAATGGCAACGCGGTCCCCGGACGGCTCACATTTTAAATAACAATTTTTATTTCCATAGCCTATTATTTACAGTCCCAGCAGGGAGACACATGATTCATCCCTGTCTGATGCTTGAAACGAAGCAGGAAGAAATTCTACCTGGACAGAAAAAAAACAATTAAGTTCCTACAGAACGGGACCAGTGTTAAGTGTGTGGTGTTGTCTCTTCTTCTCTGGTCTTTACAGTGTCACTGTTGGTGCACTTGGGCAGGATCCTAAAACTCATCAGATTACCACAGTTCTCATTAAGGGCTTGCGTCCAATTTTATTGGACCTTCCCACCTTTTCTCTGGACCTTGAAAAACTGTTCAACACAGCCACAAGTGCAGGACCTCAGCCGCTCTCTGTGGCCTCACAGTCCAAAAAAGAACCCAGCAGTGTGTGGCTCAGCTCTGCAGCTGTCTGGAGGCCTCTGTGGCCGCAGAGAAGCCGTTGTCATGCAGCTTCCTGATGTGTTTCTTCAGGTCAAAGTTGCGGCAGAAGCCCTTGCCGCAGGTGGTGCAGGTGAAGGGCTTCTTGTCGTTGTGCGTGTGCATGTGGAAGGTCAGGTTGTAGATCTGGTGGAAGGCCTTGTTGCAGATGGAGCACTTGTACTGCTTCTCTCCGCTGTGCGTCAGCTTGTGATTCTTGTAGTTTCCTGGAGAAAATAATGAACACGTGCATGAGAGGAGTGGATGATTAGACACATAACATGCCTTAACTCTTATTTTCATTTTTAATGTACTTATTATTTTTTAATTGTTTAATCTCCCTGAACCTCAAGTGCTGCTCTTCACATTTCCTCTGAGCAGGAGCTCAAAACTTAAAAAGATTCACTCCTCAGATTTGAGAAATTAGAAGCAGCTGTTTGGTGTTTTTACAACAACTTCTCAAGACTAAATGTAACATAAACTTCCTTGCATGAGTGTGGAGGACTTGGAGTGAAAATTACACACCATGACATTTATTTATCTCGTGTGACAAAGAGTGAAAACAGCCTAAAATGCAGATGTTAGTTGACTAAGCACAACTTTCTCTCTCTGGAAAATAAAGCGCGGAGTCAAAACTGAATAACACTTCTTTTCGTGAATGAATAAAAATTTTGAAGCACAAAAACCCTCAGAGATGATCTGAAGAATGATGAACGCAAGATGAATCATGAGAGAATCTGATTTTTATTGGAGTCTTTGAAAACATCCGGATGATTTCAGGTTAATTTCACCAGTTTTGTGACTTAAAAAAAAAACAAACAAACAAAGGAAATGATGCAAAGCTGCAGAAAATTAAATTAAGATTTTTTTCCTCAGCTGAAACAACTAGAAAAGATAAATGGAGAGAGTGAGAATCTTCTGAGAAAGTGAAAGAGGCCTTCTTTTCTTTTCCCCACCAAGGTCAACAGTTCACTGTGAAGTTAGAGCTCCCTCTGTCCCTCTGCTCTGCCTCGCCTTCATTAATCAGAGGGGTTTTTTGTGCCAAAGTCAAGAAGTTGTCAAACTTTGTCAGAATCAAGCGCGGCGACAACTCAACGAAAAAGCCCCGCTTCCCAACTTCGCCGGGGTCTCGCAGCTGACCCAGAGCAAATGCTGCCGTCTTGAAGGGAGAATTAGTCCGTGTAAAGTGACATGTCCTATTTCCACTGATCGCTTCACGCTCATCGGTGGGCCTGCAATTATTTCCCCCTTCATTACTCTCACATATAACTCAGAGCAGCAGCATATGGTCATGTTCTACCCCTCTCTGATTTATTTCAGCAGACTCTGAAGATTCCTTCACAAGAGACAAACGTGGATTTTTTTCTTTCCTGCAGCTTCACAGAGTTTAATCTAAACCAAGAGGATAAACGGCCACTGTTCCTCATGTAAAATGACATGCAATAAAAATTGAGTATAACAACCTATTCATTTTTCTCTATGCCTCAAATCCAACTATGCAGCAACACAGCAAGACACCATCCAACAGCAGCATTATAACATTAGACCAGAGGTTCAGTGCAGAAATTCCTTAACTCTGAAAAATACGATTTTATAAAAAGAGAGAAGAATCAAATGAAGTCAGATTATTTGTCTTATTTTTCCTCAAACAGGAAGATTAAAAAATAGATGAAAAAAGAGAAACGACGTTTGATCTTTGAAAAATGTTCAACATTAAAAACAGATGAGATGATCTCTGCAGGACTGGAGATTTTTTCTCGTTTTCAGAAAAATTTCAGGAGTGAAGGAGGAAATAAATACATTTCAAAAAATCGATTTTTCTTTGTATAATTTTTCAGAATATAAGACTGTATGTATTTTAATGCAATTAAAACTACAGTATTGTTAAAGGCTCTTGCAGAGCCTCGTGCAGGTGACAGCATTTACCTTTCTGGTGGAAACCTTTCCCACAGAACTCACACACGAACGGTTTGTACCCGGCGTGGATCCGGACGTGCGTGTTGAGCGTCGAGCTTCTGTTGAACGCTTTTCCACACTGGTTGCATTTATGAGGCTTTTCCTTCACACAAAATATAAATGAAAATAATAATAAAGAGGAAAAATGTGTTAAAATGGATTTTTAAAAAAAGCGGGATTTTAAAAGAGATAAATAAAGCGCCGCGTCTCACCTGTGTGTGGATGATCTTGTGTCTGCACAGAGTGCTGGCCTGTCGGAAGCCTTTGCCGCACACTTTACACACAAAGGGCCGGGCCCCGGTGTGCACCGGCATGTGTCTGGTCAGATTGTAATGCGCGTTAAAAACCTGCGGAGAAACAAACACACAGAGGATTTTATTATTATTATTATTATTATTATTATTATTATTATTATTATTATTATTATTATTATTATTATTATTATTATTATTATTGGGAGTGAGTCAGAAACGTGTCAGTAAAAATATCTAATTTAGACAAATCTGTATTTCATTTTTAGTTATTTAGTCTGTTCTTTCACGGGAAATATTCGTTTTAATTGAAAACATTTTTTTCATAATTTTTTTTATTATTTAGAATTTAAATTCAAAATTTGTACCTTTAAAAAAGAAAATTATAAAAACGTGGTGTCACTTTAGTGTTTGCTAACCCAGAGAATTAAATGGTTGCTGGGCCAGAATGTTGTTTTCATATGTATTGATGAGCATTATAATCTTAAAGGAAAATGAATTAAAACATTATAAATCCTGGGAAAACCCTGTGAAGCTGGATCATCCATTTAACGTGGATTCACAAACTTTACCTTTCCACACACTTCACACGTGAAGTTCTTGGGCTTCCCGTCCGCGGCGCCGCTGCCGCTCAGCTTGCTGTGAGTCTTGACGCCGTTCTTCTCGGCGCTCAGGCCGTGGTTCTCCTTCACTATCTGGTCCAGCTGCCCCGGCAGATGTTCTTTGTGCGGGTACTGAGGTGTTGGCAGCTTGTCGGTCCCGACCCCTGACAGCTTGGCGTTCTCCAGCAGCAAGAGTCTGTGGTGCGCCGACAGAGACGCCTGGGCCTGCGGACTGGAGACCCAGTGTCCGGCCAGCAGCTCCGACTGCTGGTACGCAGAGTCCAGGTAGTTGAGATAGTAGAGCGAGCCGCCGCTGGGCACGGCCACGGCCTGGTGGATGACCTGCGGCTTCACCACCCTGCTCCCCGGCGTCAGCAGCGGCTGCTTCAAACTCGGCTCAGCTTTGCCGCACAAGCCGCAGTTCCCTTTGCACGGAGCGGCTGCGGAACCGCAAAAAGTCCCTCTCAAACTGGCCCTCCACAGCTCGGAGTAGTTCATCAGCGCCTTGGCTTGGAGGTCGTAGCTGAAGGGCTGCAGCGGGATCATGCAGGGGATCGGGGAGCACAGTCCCAGCAGCTTCTTCCCCTCCGACCGCTCTTCCGTGCTCCCCTTCGGCTCCGAGCTCTTGGACATGATCCGGTCTATGGAGAAGGCCAGGGTCTTCGGAGCCGCGGACGGCCCGGTCCTCCCGCAGGACATCACCGTCTCCAGCGAGGCAGAACTTGCCATTCTGTTGTTGGTGTTTGTGTTTAGTTTGCGACAGAGCAGAACTTGGTGTGAGCAACACCCGGTGTAGTCCGACCCTCTCCTCCAGCTGCCCCGCGTCTTTTCACTCTCCTGAGCTCCCAGCAGAAAAGACAGGAGGACACATCAGTTTAATAAGCACCTTGCTGTCACAGTGTCACGCATTTGCATTCAAATGGCCATCCCCCCTGCAACAATAGCATCCAGGGGTGATGGATTAATGCTCATTAACTACTGCACACAAAATTAACAGGACATTACAGAGCTCGTTAGGGAGAAGAAGAAGAAGAAGAAGAAGAAGAAGAAGAGGAAGAAGAGGAGGAGGAGGAGGAGGAAAAAAGATGCTGCAGCTCCTGGAGGACGCGTGAGCAGAAAGTTGAGCCGGTTTTGGAGGTTACCTCTTTAATGGTCAGATGGGTGTGGAGAAACCAGCCGACTGCTCTCTGTCACACGCTGGCAGCGGCCACCCCTCCTCAGCGCGGATCACTGTCTCCTGACATCAGCGGGCACCCAAACTCTCCAGTGAGTGACAGGGAGACGCCCTCATCAACCTGCGCGCCATAAGACAGAGGGGGTGGCACGACTGACAGAGGCTACATGTGTCATCTGAAACATGGCTGAAAATATTACGCTCATAATTATGTTTTCATCATTAAAGGCGCGTTTGAGGACCTGTGGCTCTGTGAGTCTGCTGCTGCTGCTGCTGCTGCTGCTGCTGCTTTCACTCTATTTTCTTTTTCACTTTGGGGATTTTTTTTTTTTCAGGAGAAAGCTACTAATCTCCGGAGATTGGAGCTCTCCTTCTCCACGCCGGCTTATATACTTACTTACTGTTGGTATAAATTCGAGGACGTCCAATTTCCACCTGTTTAAGAGCAGAGACTCCCTTTGGATCCTATTAAACGTTGTTCCTCCTTCCCTCTATTCAAAAGAAGCAATTTTCCAAAGCGATTCAAGGCTCAACTCAGCGCAGGGAGGGAAGGAGGAAAGAAAAAACACAAGCTCTTTCACTTTTAGCCACTAAAGCACTGCGTGAACCTGGTTTTGTGTTTTTTTTTCTCTTCCTGAAATAGAGGGACGGATTAAAGAGGGAGAGAGAAAAAGAGAAAAGACTTAGCTTGGTCAGAGGTATACAAGGACAAATGAAAAGAGAGGCTTTCTCTCTAAAGAGGCATACAAGAAGTTTGCTGGAATCCGCCGTGTTGTGTGGCGGCTACAATGAGCAGCAGCCTCTCTTCTATTCGCCACAAGGGCCGCGTTGAATTCATGTGTTTGCAGGCCATTTTACCTGAGGGACTCCCAACAAGTGAGCGAGGCACAGGACGGTTCATAACACGTCCAGGCTGGGGGAGGGTGGAGGAGGAGAGGGGAGAGAAAAACTAAGAATGTGACATTTCATTTCACGTTTTATTTATTTTATTAAATGTATTTTTAATAACAGCCTATATGTAAAAAAAAAAAAAAAGAAAAAAAAGTCATTTAGACAGGAGACTTAAACCATTTGAATATGTGGCAGGACTCTTACTTTGTCTTTTAAGACCTTTGATTATAGGAAGAACAAAGTCCACAGCTCCATCACTGGAGTCACAGTACAGATCCTCCGTCAAATATTCCTCCAATACAAGGGAAAGTTGTTCAGTCACATTTTTACTTGAGTTAAAGTACTGGAGTACCTGAGTAGTAGTACTGGTTGTGAAGTATTCAAAAGCACCTTTTTTATATCAACACATTGTTGTATTGTTCCACATTTACAGACCGTAATGACTCTGAAACAACCTACTGACTGACTGACTGGCTGACTGACTGACTGACTGTAGATGCTTCAAAGCCTGTAGAAATCACCATAAAAACACAATTGAATCAATCAAAGGAGTTACTGTTGTTTTCATATTTTTTCTTTTAGTCGGTGATGAAGTCTGGTCGTGGTAAACACAGCAAACATTTCAAACTAAATGAATCTTTATTTATTTCTAAACCTTCAAACACAGACCTCAGATCAGACCATGGTCTCTGGTGAAGAATCTTCTGCCTCATCTTTATCTAACGTCTCCATCGTTAGGACACTGACAGGTGATGACTGACAGTGGAGGAGTTGACTGTCATTGGTTTTTCTCCTGTGATGAACACAGTGTATGGTCTATCACAGTTTCAAAATAAAATGAAATTCATTTTAGAGCCAGACCGATATATCGGTCAGCCAATATTATCGGCCGTTATTGGCTTATCACAGATATATTGGTATCGGTGCATATATTCTCCAATATGCGCTGATATGAATACTTTTATTAAGAAGTAATAATGCAGTGGAAATGCTCGGGTCAAGTCAAGATAAATAGGCAGCATTTGATTCTTTGTTTTCATTCAAGTTAAATATGTATATATATATATATATATTAATATATATACATATTTGTTCTTATGTTTTTTATTTATAGTTTATATATACACGTATGTATATTTATAGTTATTTAATTCCCAGTGAAATGTACTGTTTCAGTGCACTGATGTCATTTTGGACAATAAAGTTTATTGTTAAACTGTCCTGCTTTCAGCACATATCTTTTTCACAGGAAGGATCCACACACACCAAACTAATTTTTGTTCCAATAATGTTTTCTAACTAAACTATCAAACATTAACAAATTATTTATTTATCATTAATAAAACTGTTATTCACTTTTTATAACCACTTAGGTTGTGGTATTAGAAAAGTCAGTCAACATGACAGGGGGGTTCTTGGAACAGGTTGAATAAATGAATGTTGTCATGTGGTTCTTTCTAACATATATAACATGTGTATTGATGATCTCAAACCAACTCAGCTCAGTATTGTCCTCTTTTGAATTTTAACTCTGTGTGTTTGTGTGTATGTCAGCATCATTGCAAATGAGGGAAACCTCAATGACCTTCCAGGCTTAATTAAAAAATTTAAATGAAAATATATATATGTGGCGCAGTGACATGTTCTTTCAGGCCTTTAGTTTCAGCCTCCACACACTTTACAAGACGTAAAACTCCTCTTACCTCTATCTACTTGTTCCAAGGCTTTTTCATGTTTTATCAAACCTTTGAGGAAATAATTCAAATCCAAGACCAAATTTAAATATTTCATTTATATATACCTATATATACCTTTACCGATAATTCAGCTGAACTTTACAGTGACCACTAGAATTTAAAATAATGTTCTGTGATTCTAGACATAAACATATACACACATTGATTCTGTCATTTTTATTCTGAAAAGTTCTTTTCCAGCTGTTTGTTCTTAGAAGATATCTTGTAGGAGGTTATTGTAGAATATTCTGTGCATTTCAGTTAGTTTAGTTTTGTGTTGCTGCTCCACTCAGCTCACCCCCCTCTGTTTAATCACTGCTGGTCTGTGTTATCCTGGAGGTGGAGGAAGGTGATGATTTACCTCCAGCCTTATAGACTCAGCACAGCATGACACCATCCTATAACACTAGTTTTCCTGTTAATAACCTTAAAAACGTCCCTGGTCTGTTTTGTTTTACACCTGCATCTCAGCATGGAGGGATTACTGCCCGTTGTCTCGGTGCTACTCATATGTAAATAGGGCAAAAATACTCTAATTTGAGTTTATTCAGGCACAATTGCCGGCTCATCCACACAATAAACATTGATCCTATTGCTGTAACCCAGGCCCCTCTATTTAGCTCTAACAGCAATTAGCTCCAGCATTGATTTGCGGGACTCTTGCTTCTTGCCTGCAGGCATGTGAGGGTCATAAATACTGGCTGGATGTGGCAAAGCTTTTCTCCACACTGTTGTGATTTTACCTTTTCAGTGCTAAAAAAAACAATTATAGAGTAACATTTTTAGATATTGAATTTGGAGCCAATGACAGATTTTTTTATAGGCTTACAGCCGAGTGAAGACTCATTGATCTGTCCACAGTGCACCCACAGTCTGTCAGTCTTTTATCCATCCTTCAGTTTTCTAAAACCTCTTGTCCTGTTCAGGGTCAGTAAGGTCCAGTCAGCATTTAAATTACAGGTATATCTATTATTATTTATGATTTTGACCAGGTGATAAAATACTGTAACTACTGCATTTTTGTGTTTTCATTACTTATTTCTTAAGTATAAATGCATACTGGCCTATGAAGAGCACCAGAAAAAGATTTTTTTTAAAAATAGTTGGACTTAATGTTAAAAACCTGACACATTAAACACCACACAGTTTATTCTATATGATCAGAGATTTCGGAGACATTTCGATCATCATGCACAGGTGTAGTGTCTGTCAAGTGGAAATACGTCTTGAATTTATTGTGTCATCGTTGTGAGATTTAATGGATCCTGTCGCATAATCTCAAATAAACTAAACTAACTTGACAAAAAGTAACGTCTCAACACAATTCCAAGTTAGCTTTTAACCATATCTTATGGCTTCCCACCTTCTTCCCTTTGCAGTTGGTCAGCTGTCATGTAAATGACTGTATGCACATGTACAGGCGTTGCTTCATTCAGTGGTAGGACAGATTACTACTTTATGGGAGAGACACTGGGTGTCCACGTCATCATTTCCAAAGGTTTCAAACCAGTTTTCAAACTAAAAAGGGTCCAGCAGAGTTTCCAAAGCTCTCAGATGCACTTTCAAATGAAAACATAGTAGGGTGAATGTAGCCTGAGTTGCCACTTGGGTCCTCACGTACTTGAATGACAACAAAAAAACAGACAGTATAGAGAGATGTGGTGGTTAGAAAGTTTACAGTGATCTTGTTGGCAGGACAACATGGACTCTACTGATACTACTAGGTTTAATGGACTCATTGAGTCTAAGAACAACCTGCTGGAGGGAGAATAATAACAGGTAAAAGTTTGAGTTTTAAGTTTAAGTTTATGAGGAGGCAGTGTGAACAGGAGAAGTCCCTGCAGCCTGCTGACTTCTTTTTTAAGTCTGAGAGGAGCCCTGTATCCTGAGAGCAGAGAGCATGGGATGGAATATAGTGTCGGTTTTAAGGAGGTCAGACAGGTATGATGGTGTCTGATCATTTTGTGTGTGATTAGAAGCACCTTAAAGTCTGCTCTGACATGGACAAGGAG